AACTATATTAGCCTACATGTCTAAGGAGCATGGTAGTATCATTGATTAATAGATATTAACTGATCAATTTGGAAGTAAATAATGGAAAACTATTAGGAGCAATTTAAAATATAGGGTATGTCTATCACCAGAAAAAGAAATCAGGGTATGGGTGCTTAATGTTCTCAAAGTAGCTCATAGGCTAAGGGGCTTAATTGATGTTAATGGCCAGCTTCTCTCCGGTGTTTTCCTTATGGCTATAAAATGGCTGCTGCACTTCCAGGCAGCAAGGAAGTGTTCAAGGTAATAAGAAAGAAAGGAATGGTGCCTGCTACATCTGTCCTATGTGAGGGAAACAAAAACTTTTCCAGAGACTCTCCAACTTCTCTCTCCCCTGCTGTAGAATTCGTCTTATGTCACATTGGCAAAAAGAAAGGCTAAGAAAGTGTTTAACTTCTCCTGCTTTTATAGTAAAGACAAACAAAGGAGAATATGATTGGGAATAAATGTTAAGTTATACAGTCAATAGTGTTAGTCTCAGGTCCTGACTTCTTTCCAGGGAGAAAAGGCTTAGGGAGTCAAATTAGTGATTTGTTTTCAAACTTGTTGAGGGTAAGGAAACATTAAGATATCTAAGTGGAAGGGCAGAAGAGGTAGTCATTAGGACATAAATAATAGGTGATATTGTAGGAATGGATGAAATTAGAACAAACAAGGCTACAATAAAAGAAACTCCCAATGCTGACAAGAAAGTGAAACAACAAAAACTCATTCATTACTGGAAGGAATGAAAAATATCACAGCTACTTTGGAAGACAGTTTGGTAGTTTCTTACAAGAATATTCTAATCATACAATCCAGCAAACTGCAGTCCTTGGTATCTATCTAAATGAGTTGAAAAATATATGTCAAAAAAATTCTCCAAATGGATGTTCACAGCAACTTTATTCATAACTGCCAAAATCTGGAAGCAACCAAGATATCCTTCAGTAGGTGAATAGATAAATAAACTGTGTACACCCAGAAAATGGAATAATAAACATTAAAACAAATGAGCTACACAGCCATCAAAAGGTATGGTGAAAGTTTAAATGAATACATACTGTATGATTCCAACTATATGACATTCTGGAAAAGGCAAAACTATGGAAACAGTAAAAAGATTAATGGCTAGCAGGTATTAGGAGGAGAGAAAAATAAAGAGGTAGAACACAGAGGATTTTTAGAGTGAAACTCTTCTGTATGATACTACAATGGTAGATATGTCATGTATATTTGTCAGAATGCATAGATTAATGTGAACTAAGGACTGTGGGTTACACTGATATAGATTTGTGAACTGTAACAAATATACCACTCTGGTGTTGGGCACTGGGGGCCTGTACATGTGTGAAGGCAGGAGGTATGTGGGAACTCTGCACTCTCTGCTCAATTCTGCTGTGGTGAATCTACAACTGCTCTAAAAAAGTTTTTTTTTTTTAAAGAATAATAAGGAACTAATCACATAACTTGGGAATAGGTAGAAAAGGAGGCACCAGCTAAAGAATAGCAATCAAAGAAAAAAATGATGAGGATATAGCAATAGAGAACTATAGGAAAGTTTTCAAAAGGGCAGGGCCAACAAAATGGAAATGTATTCTAGTTACATTGACTGGGATACTGAGTAGGATAGAGAATAAGTTTCACAGGTTTAATAATCAGAGGTCAATTATAATCTAAGAATGAAGGGCTTTCAATGGAATTACAGTGGAGAAGCTCAACTGTAGAAAGTTAAAGATGTATGATAAAGACGATAAATAAAATGGAAGAGGGAAAAAAGGCAGTATATATGAAATTTCTTAAGTCTGATGTCTGCATATTTATGGTTAATGTAAACTCATTTAAAAACATTAAATGTCCAAAACTGTATTCTTCAAGAAACCAATTTCTTAACATAAATAGGTAAAATTTATTTTAAATGAGATGATAAGCTCTTTTTTTTTTTTTTAAAGTAACTCTCAAGGTATAGACTAGTATCAGTATAAATTTAGCCCTTCATCCTAGGTACCACTGTGTTTTACTTGTTATTAGGGAAAACTGCAAACATCATAAAAGTAGGGGGAAAAAGTGCCATGCTAGCAAATTTAGCTAGTATAATTCCATGCTACTTCAAAAATAATGCTTATATGATCACCAAAAATCCGATTTTATGCTCTACCATAAAAAATAATTTAGGATTTCCAGGTTATTAGAATAAACAAAGACATTATTTGAATAGCACTGCAATATTAAAAAGTATTTCCTTGTATGATAATCATGTATTTGCCATAATTAATTGGAAAGTTCTATACAATGTATGATCATTAACTTGGATTTTTCCCAAACATATCTCTAGTACTGTTTCCTTTATGAATTTCAACATTACACAATTAAATAAAGCATTAATTTTTCAGCTCTTATCCTAGTCAAATTTACCTTTTACTGATTATCAATAATAGTACTATTTATGATAAAATACTAGAAGTATTATTGACTGACCGAAAGCTCCTAGAGACATTGACTCTTTTTAAAATTTCTTCCTAAAGCTTATTTAGATACTAACTAAATATTGAATGAGTTAACAAAAAAATGATACTTGTAGGTGCACTGTAAAAGACAGGCATACTGCTGAGAAAGGAGACGAAAAGCTGATTCATTAGATAGCTTGGTAATATACTTATTACTCATAACTTATACGGCAACTTGAAGACACAGTGTGCAGTAACCAAAACACCAAAGAAAGAAAGAACATCATCCCTGGAAGGTAAGAATAGTTTTTTTTTTAAATTTTTTTAATTTATTTATTTGAGAGAGAGAGAGAGAGAGAGAGAAACAGCATGAGAGGGGATAGGGTCAGAAGGAGAAGCAGGCTCCCCGCTGAGCTGGGAGCCCGATGTGGGACTCGATCCCAGGACTCCGGGATCATGACCTGAGCCGAAGGCAGTCGCTTAACCAACTGAGCCACCCAGGTGCCCATGGTAAGAATAATTTTTAAAAAATGATTCAGAATAAAGCAGATATAAATATATAATAAATTTAAGGTTTCTCATGAGAAAGGATAGCATGTATGATACTACAATGGTAGATATGTCATGTACATTTGTCATGTCAACTAAAAAGTGATTTGAAGCCAGTCTTATACAAGACAGACATTTTTAAAAGAGTGAAAATGAACACTGGAGCTTTAAAAAGACTAAATTGATGAGTTTTTAAAAATTCTTCCTCCCATCCTTACTCTACAAAAAAGTTAAGTTGGTTAGTGAATGGATGAAGTTATGAAGGATTAAAAGACAACAGAAAAATCTGACACTTATGCAGAAAAAGGTGAGAAACTAGAAAAGATTTTAACATAGTATATTTGTCAGGAGTAAAAATGTAGCTTTGTTTATATATTGTTTTATATAGTCTGTAGTTTATAGAGATTTCTATTTTATAGGGATTTTGTTTTGTTTGGTTTTGAACTTCCTGGTTTTTTTGGTCTACATGTAACCTTCTAATTTTAATAACCTCTTAGAAATGTGCATTTCTTTCTCTCCATAAATAGCAGGTGCCATTTAATTCAGTTTAACACAAATAGACAACAAAGAAAGCCAGAATAAGGACTGTGGTATTATTATGTACTTAACAAACTAGAATTTAATTCTAGGTCTGTTTTATATGGAAATAGCCATGTCACATATAGCACATGAAATCTGTCCCCTGATGCTGATAATAAATTGGCATATATAATGGAAACTGCCTTTAAAACAAAGTTACTATCGATTTGCAAGTATACATTTGAAAAAATTATTATACTAAATTTTAATCATAGGGCAAGTTACCCCAAGGAGGGGTAATTAAAAAGTGATCAAGAATCTACATTTCTTTTTTTTCCAATTTATTGTTCTAGTCTATAAATTTGAGAGAAAAGAAGAGAACGTGCATTAAACAATGACAACAAAGTTATCACAAATTCCTAACTACTCTCTGAAAATTTCAAAATGACGCTCAACACAGTTGTAGAAAAATCTGACTTCAACCAAACTTCACACTTTTTGGATAGACGAAACATTTTCCACTTCAAAATGTCACCATTTTTCTCAATTTTGGTAGATAATTCTGGTCTAGTGAGTTACACTGCTAATGCCATAATATTCTCCTGTAATTTGTAGCAAAAATGAATTTAAGACAACAAAGTACAATACAATATTCTTGATGGCACACTTTTTCTTACTACACAATCACAAAAATGATGAATCTTTTCTGTTTCCTGGGGATATGGTTTTCTTTTTATTTTTAACCAGTTAATGAGAAAGTAAGCACCTTGAGGGCAGGAACTAGTACTATGTCACAGGTGCTATGCTAGGAATTGAGACAAAGACAAAGAAGGAGAATGGAAAGTCCTAAGTACCATAAGAAAAAATATGTAAGTAGTAGAATCAAAGTGACGTCCTTTTTCGTGATTATTGGATCTCTATTACAATGAAAAAGAACTTCTTGTCATGAAACATACACTTCACTTGTTTCAAGTTCCAGTAGACTATATTTTCTCTCTTTTCTTGTAATAAGTAACATTTTAAGAACTATTTCAATTCGCAAACATATTCACATACCCTTCAGGGAGTGCCAGTTCTGTGGGTTAATAATATCACAAGATTAGTGTAATAAATATTGATGTGACGAAAAGGCTCATGGTTTAATTTTTTTCCCTTTTAGTGTGCCACTTTTTACTAACTACAAAAGATAACAGTATACCATAAAATCAGAAACAGAATGAACACATACCCAAAGTATTAATATACCACCACGCAAAATTCAGAAAATATGTTGTTTTCATGTACACATACACGAAATAAAATAATACCCTAACAGAAGGGTGCTGTATCTGTGTTTAAAGAAGGGGTTGTCGGCAAACACCACAGCTCACTTCTGCTTAAATGTACACAACTGATATATGCAGCACAGAAAGCTGGCACCAAGGGCTTACAACCTTAATTTGCCTGTAAGAAGGAATGGAGATTTACCTTCAGAGCACGTTCTTGATTGTTTTCAGCAGTCAGATGTCTCATGTTGTTTGCTGAAGTCTGGTTCTGCTCTTTCAGATGATGAAGCTCCTGCTCTAGCCGTTTGCACTGCCACAGGGGAAGAATCCCATTAAGTAAAGGAGTTATAGCATTTTTTTTCCCCAAACAAGCCACATGAATTAATGTAAATAATACCACTGCATTCTCTAAAAGACAAGGTATCTTTTGCAACAAGAATAGTAAGTTAAAAGTAATGATGAATATGAACATATGTTTATAGTAGTCTGGCAATTCAATTGCAGTTGTTTGTCTTTTATTAATCTAAATATTACCATAAAATTAGAAAAATAACTTATTTTTTCATAAAATTAAGGTCAAACTACATTGAAAAATGTTTTCTTCACTGATCAAACAGTTTTTATTTTATATCTTTCGGCTGAATAAAAGCATGCTTCTAAAAATCAAACGGGGTTCTATGTAAACCACGATACGATATTCTGTGATGAATTTTTATTAAATTTTTAAAAATAACAATTATCATAAAATATACAGTAAGAGGTTTTTTAGATTTTTAGAAACATCTAAAGAAACAATTGTGTAAGGAAAAAAGTAATAACTATAGAGTGCTACAAGGTTTGGAAACAACTAAGGAAACAAGTGTTTTTAATTTCTTTTTTGACTAAACCTTATTTTTAAGTAAAACAAGTGATAACAAACATATGAAATGATATTCTGACCTACTGGGAATATATGAAAATTTTAAAAAATAAATTATAAATAAAAGCATAAATGGGCATCTATTTTGAAAAAAATAACTGAAGTACCATGCCATTTGAATACAAAATCTTCATATAAATATATCAAACATTTTACACAATAACTGTACAGGATATAAAGTGATGTGTTGTCATTCAGGACCATATGAAGATATCTGGGGGATTAGCTAAAGGAATACAGTACTAAACCCATCTTCCAGGAAAAAGTTAAAAATTACTCCTTAAATTAGAATATTGAGAGCATGCAACTCTTGATCTTGGGGTCATGAGTTTGAGCCCTGTGTTGGATGTAGAGATTATTAAAAAAAATAAATAAACCTAAAAAATTAGCATATTTAAGTAACAACCAATAAATAAATACACATACTGATTCAAGACCTAGACAAAATTAATTCTAGATTATTTGACAAAAGACTAGTTGCCCTAATGAATTAAAAATCATTATTATGATACATTCCAGATACAGTCATAATCTAAATTGGCATCTGACATTGATTTCTTTTGCCTCTGACCTGTATAATATTCTTTAGCCTGTATCAGTATTTCTCCTGCTTGAGTAAGATACAAATCCACTTAAAAGAAAAAGTTTTACCAAACTGGTGATATTGACTTATATAATGATGTTTTACAAATATAACACTGAGTATACATGCCTCCTGCATATGTAATTATAAAACCAAAATACATTTATAAATGAAGTAAAATAATAATCACAAAATCAAGACTTTAAAATATTAATTTAACTTAGCAGATAAAGTTTTGCTGAAATTAAGTTCTGTAAATATAATACAGTACTGACTGATACAGTGGCAGATCATTTCAGGTTGTCATGTCTATTCCAACATGTGCTGTGTGATAACTTAATTCACTTATCACATTTTTAAAAATTATTTGACTGAAACCTTTCTGACATGACATCATCTGGCCTTTATTTGGAAGGGACACATGATTAAACATTAAACTCTATAGCTGTCCCTTTTTAGCTTGTAACAATTCAAGTATTTGGTCACAAATGCAACCAAAATACAAATGTTTTGTGAAGACACAAATCATGAGGCATGAAAATGAGTAAGACATAGCAGTGAGCATCACAATCTAGTAGAAGTATTCTTTATTATCCTCTACATTTTCAATTAATTTTAATACAAAATTATTACATATTAAGTACTTAAATGGAATGACTAAACATGACCTAGGATGTTACAAAGGTGGGGTAGATAATTTGGTTATGGGATAAAAGAATGTCTCACAGAGCAGATGACATCTGAGTTGGGCTTATTTGGGGAACATGATTTTATAAGCTGAAGGAGGAAGAATACAGGAGAAAAGGTAGAAACATCAAGGGTCTATCTGGAGAAAGTGAGAAATCACAGTCACAAGTTGTCTGACCACCTGTTTTTTGTGTTTCTAAGTAAATTAGAAATAACCCAAGGATAGAGACTTCTTTCCTACCTACATGATCCACAAAATACAAAATACTATAGCCAAACAGAGAAGTATGGTTTAAGAACAATAAAGCTATTTTTGAACCCAAGGGCATTTATCCACATTGCATACTTGGGCTCAGTTTTCATGGCCATGAAGTACAAGAGGGATAGAAAATAAGGCCCAGGGACCACTCAAACTAGCAAGTGTCCTAAAGGGCTATACTTTCAAGTGTTTAGTGATCCTTCCTACTTTCATGAATGGAAAGAAACAAGACAAATGCCAGAGAAAATGTATGTCCCTAAATCAAGAATAATGTAATTTGTTCTATGGTTTTAGAGTTTCATTTTGAAGTAACACCATTAAAAGTAACACAATATCTTCCCTAATCATATTCTGCCAAATATTAATATCATTAAAAGTTCTATTGAATAAATTGAAACCTAGGTTTCTTACATTTTTATATTTAAATTTTTTAAATTTTTATCTTTTTAAAGATTTATTTATTTTATTTTACAGAGAGAGAGAGAGCACGCACACGCACTTGAGTTGGGGGAGGGATGAAAGGAGAGGGAGACAAGCAGACTCCCTGCTGAGCGAAGAGCCAGGATGTGGAGTGATCCCCATGATCCCTGAGATCATGACCTGAGCCAAAATCAAGAGCTGGACGCTTAACCAACTGAGCCACCCAGGCGCCCCTTAAAATTTTTTTTAATACTCAAATTGAACTTAGGTAAATGCTATCTGTATACTGTTAGAGTCCCTGCGAACTAGAATTCTCATCATATGAGACTAAAGATAAAGACGAAAGATAAAATAGGTTAAATAAAAAACCCTTTAGTTCAGAATTTGCATTGGAAGTATCAGTACAAGGATACAAAGAGTTTTATCTTTAAAAAAATGTGAGTTTATATATTTCCTAGTTTTGCCCATTGAAATTTGGTAGAAATAACAGGAAACCCAGTAGCAATGAGTACTCCCAGCACCTACCCTGTGGGTCCAAGTACCATTTCTTACTAAAAATACAGGACTCTGTGGATATATGGCTGACTCCAGCTCTGGGACAAGAAATGTACAATACGATCCAGTAACATGTGTGCTTAGCAGAAGTTTTGTATCAAAGAGACTCAGAAAGGACTCAGGAGACAACTTGAAAAGTCCCCCACCAGCTAAAGAGAAAAGAATATGATCAAATAAGGATAGTAACTGAAATATATTGTAACACACACTATATGTTTAAATTTTGAGTTTATAATGACAATAAAATTCTTAAAAAACTAATTCTATCACTATTGGGGAATACTAGTAAGCCAAGAATTCATCTACTACCCTTTCTTATATAAAGTTTACCACTAGGTAATCAAACAATAGATAAGAAAATCACTACAGAAATATTCAAGCTAATAAAAAAAAGGGAATGTTAGAATATCACAATTTTGAAATCATTACTATACTGAGATCATTAATATAGTACTGAACTGCTAGTAACATAGTTCTTTCACAAACCAACATGCATTCCCAGATAAAACACAAAACCACCTGCAGTCTTGGTATAAAAATTAATCTAAATCTGATCAAGCCTATAGATCAAACTGCCATATGAATAGAATAGAGAGGAACATATTAAATGACACTAAAGAGATGCAATGAATGAACAAGGTAACTCTACAAGAAAAATTCTCATTTTGTTTAAAAAATAAATTCCAAGGGGGCATCAGGGTGGCTCAGTCAGTTAAGCGTACAGGTCTTGATCTCAGGATTGTGAGTTCAAGCCCCACGTTGGGCTCCACACTGGGCGAGTAGCCTACCTAAAAAATTAAATAAAATTTAAAAATTTAATGGATAAAAAGAGATAGAAGGGGAATCTATAAATTAAAAAGAGGTGTTAAGAGTCAATTCAATCATCTGCAATGTGAAACTCTTTTTTTTTTTTAAAGATTTTTTTTTTTTTTTTTGAGAGAGAGAGAATGAGAGAGAGCACATGAGAGGGGGGAGGGTCAGAGGAAGAAGCAGACTCCCTGCTGAGCAGGGAGCCCGATGCGGGACTCAATCCAGGGACTCCAGGATCATGACCTGAGCCGAAGGCAGTCGCTTAACCAACTGAGCCACCCAGGCGCCCCTGCAATGTGTAATTCTTAAGTATAGATTCAAAATAAAGAGGAAAGTTACAATATTTATGAGATCACTGGAATTTGAAAAGTAGTCATGTTTCACAATGTTTTTTATTTGTTAATATTTTTGTTGTGATAATGAGATTATGTTTTAAGCAACAGTTGATATCTTCTAGAAAGACACAATAAAATTTATAGATAAAAAGGATATTCTGTCTGGCAAATTTCCTTCAAAATAATGTGAGAAGGAATAAATGAGTGGGAGATATAAATTTAAAAAGCTGGACAGTTGTAGCAGGGTACAAATATCTCAAGGGCTCAGAGATTCTATGGTTTCTAAGTTCACTGATAAGAAGGATTAAATTTTTCTCTATAAACAAGCCAAACTAATTCTATAATGTGAATGAACTAAACATATAAAACATAAAAATTGATGGCAAATTTTTATAAACTGAATTTGGCCCATATTTAATACAAGATCTGTTTTCAGCAGTATTTTCCTCTTATTTCTTATTATAAATTCTGAAGAATTATACCAAGCAGACAATACATTGTTATGATTGTTTTAGTTTATGTGTACTTTTTTTTATTTGTAAGGTATCTTTTTATTGTTATGTTAATCACCATACATTATATCATTAGTTCTTGATGTAGTGTTCCATGATTCATTGTTTGCGTATAACACCCAGTGCTCCATGCCGTACGTGCCCTCTTTAATACCCATCACCAGGCTAACCATCCCTCCACCCTCCTCCCCTCTAGAACCCTCAGTTTGTTTCTCAGAGTCCATAGTCTC